AGACTAACGTGTCTGTATTTGAGTTCGCTCTCTCGTGGCCTCGTCTCGCGCTTCTCCTTAATAACGAATCGCCGGTCGCGCGCGACAAAAATCCCCGGGATTTTTCTTTCGTGAAGACAGGGAGCGAGGAACATCTTCCGAGTTCAAGGAGAGCGATTCGTAAGAACGAAGAGACCCACCAGGGAAGATCTAGTAGCTCTCCGTGCTTGGAGGGACTACGAAGAAGGAAGAGTCGCGCGCGCTGGTGCAATTGCATCCTGCTCGAGAGAGAAAGAGAAAGAGAAAGAGAAAGAGAGAGAGAGACGTTTTTCTCTCGAGTCGGGACGTTTCAAAGATCTCAGAGATCGCCGGTCTTCTTGACCAACCTAACGAAGAACGTTTTGCATCGCAGGCTCGCCCTGGAGGGACAAAATATCGCTGGCGATTCTCGAGCTGCAGGAGAAGGGCGTGATACAAATTCTGTACGACAAGTGGTGGAAGAACACCGGCGACGTGTGCAACAGGGACGAAAAGAGCAAGGAGAACAAGGCGAACGCGCTCGGAGTGGAAAATATCGGTGAGGAAATTCACACTGAGAGTTAGTGTTGATAGTCTTTTATTTTCCTCCTTGGTGAGGAAGAACACTAAGTGAACACAAGTTTAGCTAACTAAAAAATTAGCTAGAATTGCCAGAGCCATTCAAATGAATACTTGAATTCAATTAATACTTTAAGAGTTGCCAATTCGACTAACACTTTGAGAATTTTTCGACCTAAGCTTGTTTTCACTGTGTTTTTACCCTTAAAGAAAAGAGTGAGATCGCGAGAGAGGTTAGGCGCGTAATTTATTGCTAGAAGCAGGGAAGAGACGGAGGAAACTTTATCTGACTTTAAGGTAGGAAATATCGCGTGAAGGGTTGTAATTTTTACTCGAAAGTTGTCAGTGCTGCGTCCTGATGATAAAAAGTTTTATTATTTACTTTTACTGCGAGTCTCATTAAGGTTGAGGAATTACGAAAAATAGAGTTGACGCATCGCGTGAAACGTTGGATCGTTTACTCCAACGTTGGTAACAAAATGTTTCGTTATTTTTATTACAGATCTGATCGTACTTGTTCGAAGTTGTCATTAACATTTTTTGATGACATTACACTGTTAAAAGGCTTCATTGCCGATTTTCACGTTATTTATTCGGGAAGAACAGACAAGAAGTTACGGGGAACATAATTTCACACGGGATAGAGTTTAAAAAATTTGCGTGAAATTTCCGAAGCGAAGGATTTACGTTAATTAAATGCGAAATGGCGAAACAGTGCCGTCAATGTTATCGGCGTGAAACAGCTGTCTGATTTCGGAACGAGCCGATCGAGACGAATTTGTTTCGTTGAAATAAATCGCAAACCCTCCGTGAAACGTTTACATTAGCTAACAGAAACGTATAAAATAATACGAGAAAATTGAATCTGCTCGATCTCTCTCTCTCTCTCTCTCTCTCT